GCTAAAAATTAAATGATTTCGAGAAAAATTAAAGAAATGTTATCCAATTAAAATACTACAAATATTATAACATTTTATATAATAAAAATCACTTAAATTTTAAAACATTTGAATAAAATAATTATTCCGAGTTTTACTTATAATTTTAAAAATATTTACGATAATTTTATAAAGCATGCATACTAAAATATATAATTTTTAGGAAAAATCGATTAAAAATTTAAACTCGAAATATTTTAAAAAAATACGTATTTAACTGAATAGCACTTCCGAAAGGGTTATAGGGCGGTTAAAACTGGGTGTCAACATACCGACATCGTAAAGTCGATATTATTTAAATAAAATAATTATTTAAATATACCCACCTCTTTAGGTCGGTATTTATTAATTTATTTTAATATAAACTCACCTCTTGAGGTTGATTTATTAATTAAAATTAACACACACACACACACACATATATATATAAAAATTTTAACTACACATCAACAGAAGTTTAATTTAATAAATTTAATTTATCGATCAAGTTAATTTTATAAATTTAAATTATATACCTTCTAATTATAGAAATTTAATTTTATTGATCAACAAAAGTTTATCAATATCAAATTTAATATATAAAATCTCCTTGAATTAATCATCAGTATTTCTTTAATTGATAATGTATTTCATATCTGATCCACTAGTATATAAGAATTAATTTGTTAAACTACTTGAGGAATATATAATTAATCAACGTATTTCATACTCCGATGAAGTATCCTTTACATGTCATCATAATTAGGAGGTGATCACTACACTTGACATCCATTCAAGATCGAACGTATATAATAATACTATCTCGCATTTCATACTCGAATGGATTATATGTTAGCTCTTCACCTCTACAACATCATGACATGAGATATTAAGTTCATGATTAGACGACAGACTGATAGAATTTGTACATTACTCTATAAATATAAGTATAATTATCTCCTAATTCATATCAACGTAGTTTCATACTCTAAATATGGATTATAGATATTTTTTTATTTATTCCACGAACTATAACTTTTTATTTATAAAAGTATACAAAATTGTTACACTTTTTGAACAATTAATTGTAGGTGTAAAATGAAATTTTAATATTGTGCACAATTGCAGAATTATGATTGATAGGAATATTTTAAACAAGCCGACCTCTGGATGTCGCTTTTATTAAAAGTAATTAGATATAATAAAAATAAAAAGTAATCATGTTAATTAAATAATATTGACATCGAGAGGTCGGTATTTTATATTAAATTATTTTTTAACTTATATAAAACCGTCATTCAGAGGATGATTTATTTAAAGTTAATTGAAAATATTAATTTATTACATACTATTTAATTTTATAGATATCCGGAAGTCGGTATTATAATTTTTTTATTTTTTTATTTTACACAAAACTGTCCTCTGGAAGACGATTTAAATAAAATTAAATCAAAATATTTCTCAATTTTGTTTTTTATATGGAGAAATGGGGAAAATCGCGTCTACTAGTGCAGATATTTTAAAAAAAAGCGACGGACAGTGTCTCTATGTCCGTCGCTTTTTTAAAAAAATGTTTGACCAACATTTTGACCAAAAAGCGACGGACTAAGAGACATTGTCCGTCGCTTTCTTAAAATATTTGACCAGATATTTTGACCAAGAAGCGACGGACATAAAGATGCTGTCCGTCGCTAATTTAAAAAATAATTAAACAATTAAAATTGATAAAAATCGACGGACGGCGTGACTTTTTTTAAATTAATAAATAATTATTTTTAATAAAAAGCAACATACTGTGTCGCTATCTATATAAAATAATTAATTAGCAAAAATCCACGAAAAAAAGTGACGGACTAAGAGATGCCGTCCCTCGCTTTAAAAAAATAAATTAAAAAGAATTATTTTAATTAAAAAGCGACGGACAGTATGTCTAATGGCGTCGCTTTTTGGAGCGACGCCGTCCGTCGCTTTTACTTCCGTCATTTTTAGCAGTTTTGTAGTAGTGTCTATTGAGGAGTATCTGCACAAGTCATTTGATGAACAATTCTATTATTATGACAATGCCAGAAGAAGTTATCTGACATATATTCTCCACCATTGTCACTACGGATATATTTTATCTACTTCTTGAACTCATTCGCAACAACATCTTTGAACTCCATAAACTTGGATAATGCTTCACTCTTTAATTTTCTTTCAAAAATTTCACCCAAGTGAACCTTGAGTGATCATTCACCAACACCATAACATAGCGATGCTCGCTATAACTTGGTGTTCTTGTTGGTCCCATCAAATT